AGAGACTTCCTGGGCGGAAGGGATGAAGAAAGAGCGCGCCGGGATGAAAGGGGTGCCAGTTACAGAGGAAACGTGCACCCGGCTGCAGCCAGGCCTGCAGGGTAAGCCGTCAGCTGCACTGATGAGTCCCTACAGGTCAACCATTCTGTGGTTTAGCATAGTGGCTTCCAGCTGGACTGGCCAATGGGAGGTACAGCGGAAGGCTGGAGGGCAGAGCAAGGAGCATGTCCCCACAGTTGCCTGCCTGGCACGGCCCTGCTCCAGCTTTGCAGGGCTCCCCACCTGCTGTCCCGGATCCCTGGCCTGGCTGTGGTGGCAGCATCTAGCCACTGCTCATTTCTGGGGTGCTCACCATTCTTGTTTGGCTTCTCGGCTCTTCCACCACCAGGCAGAGCCATGAAATTCCCAGTTGAAATCTTACAGTCGTTTCTGTTTTCCCAGTTGGATTCTGACTGATACATCCTTCAAGAGTCTAAAGGACTGTGATTATAACATTTAATATTTACCAAATAGCAGCTATGTGCCTGGCACTAAGCTAAAGGACTTTGTATGCGTTATTTCATATTACCTTCCAAGTAGCCTCATCCATTAAAGTCTACTGTTCTTTGATATTACAGAGAAGGGATGCAAGGCTTAATTTTAGGTACTTGAGACCAACAGCCAGGTCAACAAAGGAAAGACCAGAGTCAGCATTCAAACCTCTTGGGTCTGCCTTCAGGGCCTAAACTCTTAAAATAAGTTAAAATAGTTCTTACCATAGGTATCAATGTAGTGGGTTAAGACTGGTGGTTCTCAGTCAGGGTGATCTGCCCCACAGGCAACATTTGGTACGTTTGGAGACATCCTTGGTTGTTACAACTGGGGCAAAGGGCATGCTACCAGCATCTAATGGGTAGGGGCCAAGAAGGTTACTTTTACTCATCCCACAGTGCTCAGGGCAGCCTCTTCAGCCCACCCACCTCAAAGAAGGTTCTGGTCTAAAATGCCAACTGTGACAGGGTTGAGAAACCCTGCTTAAGACCAGTTTTAAAAAATGAATAGGCCCTGGCCGGCTATCTCAGTTGGTTTGATCGCCAGGGTTGCGGGTTTGATCCCCAGTCAGGGCACATACAAGAAATGATGAATGACCCCTGGGCTGGTGTCGCTCAGTTGGTTGGGCACTGTCTCATGCACTGAAAGGTTGCCAGTCCGATTCCCCATCAGGGCACGTGCCCGAGTTGCAGGCTCCATCCCCGGTAGGAGGCGTGTAGGAGGCAGCGATGTTCCTTCTCACATCGCTTGCTCTCTCTCTCTCTCTCTCCCCCCCCTTTCCTTTCTAAAAATCAATAAAAATACTTTAAAAAATTTGTTTTTGTTGTTAATCCTTACCCAAGGATATTTTTTCCATTGACTTTTTTAGACAGAGTGAAAAGGAGGGAGGGAAAAAGAGAAACATTGATATGAGAGACACAAATATATTGGTTGCTTCCCGCACTATAGTCCTGACTGAACTGGGGATTGAACCTGCAACCCAGGCACATGCCCCTGACCTGGAATCAAACCCACGACCCTTAGATGCCCAGGACGACACTCCAACCACTGAGCCACACTGGCCAGAACAACAACAAAAAGAACCAATGAATGCATAAATAAATGGGTGGAGCAACAAAGAAATGTTTTTGTCTCTGAAATCAATCAGTTAAGAAAATTAAATAGAATAGAAAGAGAGCATCCACATAATGAAGCTAAGTATAGTTTTCATAAAAACTTATTTTAATTATTTGTATGTGTACTTCTTATCTCCATAAGAATTACTGGGGACACTTGATAAAAAGGCAGGTGCCGCCCTGGCCAGTGTGGCTCAGTTGGTTGGAGCATCGTCCCATGCACTGAAAGGTCTTGGGTTTGATTCCTGGTCAGGGGCACATACCTAGGTTGCAGGCTCAATACCGGATAGGGGTGGGAGACAACTGATAGATGTTTCTCTCTCTCTCTTTCCCCCTTCCTCTCTCTAAAAAAACCAAAAAAATAAAAATACAGGTACCTAGATATCACCTCCAAAAGGGATTCAAGAATCTGGATTTTTAACAAGAATCTGGATTTTTAAAAGTACTAACAGACCATGGACTGTGCTTTGAGACATACTGGACATAGATGCCTTTGAGAAATAAGTGGCCCACAGCTAAGTGATCAAGTTAAGACCTGAGTTTTTCTTTGTGCCAGGCACCACATGAAATGTTTAATATATATTATCTCATCTAAATCTGTCAAACTGCCCTAGCTGGTTTGGCTCAGTGATTAGAGCATCAGGCCTTGGACCAAAGGGTCCTGGGTTCGATTTCAACCAAGGGCATGTACTCTGGTTGCAGGCTTGGCCCTGGTGGGGGCTCCAGCGGGAGGCAACCACTCGATGTTTCTCTCTCACATCAATGTTTCTCTCTCTCTCTCCTCCCCTTACACTCTCTCTGAAAAAGCAATGGAAAAATATCCTTGGGTGAGAATGTAAAAAAATAAATAAATAAATCTGTCAGACTGTACAGATTTATGTGTCATTAATGTGTTAAATAAAATTATTAACATCTGTTTATTTTATATCAATGGGAGAGTCATGATTTTCAACATTTAAAAAATGATCCTTTAACAATTTAACAAGTTTCAGATACTTTGTGGTATTGTAGGGACCTCAAGAAGAGAGGAACTTGAGCAAATTTATAGGTAGTACAGGTAAAATCTGATGGAGAGAGCTTCCTGGGCATGGCTTCTATACCTCAGGAGAGCAAGTACCAGGCTTTTAAAAATTCAATCTGAGATTCCTTATGAAGACTTCTAGCAAAGTAAACTCAAGAAAGCCTATATGGTAAATTAACACACTTACTGCCCCTAGGCAAATAATCAGGCCAAATCTAATGAGACCAGCCTTATTTCATGATCAAAAATATCTTTCATTGAGATTATGAGACTGTATGAAAAATTTGTTCTTCAATGAAAACTATGCATTGGGAACTACAACCAAGATTGCTCTACCCAGCAAAGCTATCATTTAGAACTGAAGGTCAGATAAAGAGTTTCTCAGACAAGGAAAAGCTAAAGGAGTTCATCACCACCAGACCAGCACTACAGGAAATGTTGAAGGATCTTCTTTAAGAAGAAGCTAAAGAACAAAAGAATCTGACGAATAAATAGATCCAGAAACAATGATGCATGCAACAGACGATCANAAAAACTTTATTTACCAAAAAAAAGAAAGAAAGAAAACTATGCATTGTCTAGAACACACCCTTCCAGGTTACACAAATCTAGCCTTTCAGTATCTTTGAGCTATTTTTACAACTCTGTACATTATAGGGACTGATGAGAACTAAGAGCTGATGATAATGCCAAATAATCTAGTCTACAGACAATAAATTCCCTCTCTCCATGTAAATAAATAGAGACATGTAGATGATTCTTCTGACTATGGAAGAAGCCAGTTTTGCCTCCATCTGCACATTCATTTCAATATTCCTGATCTATAGTCTTCTAGAATCTTCTTTGGTTTCTCTCACAAACTGGTTATAAGATCTTACTTGTTCCTTGATTCATGAGTTGAGTTAAAGTTGTCACATATGTTCATTATATTTCTGTATGAAATCATGAGTTTTATTTCCTTTGTTTTTGTCTAAGGCTCTGCTTTGCAGATTGCCCTGGNAGAACAAAAGAATCTGACGAATAAATAGATCCAGAAACAATGATGCATGCAACAGACGATCATATTTCAGAGGGAAGAGGGAAGGGGGGTGGAGGGTGGGAAGAGATTAACCAAAGAAGTTATATGCACATATGCATAACCTATGGACACAGTTAATAACGGGGTGAAGGCCTGGGGAGGGGGTGGGAGCAAGGTGGAGGGGGTCAATTGGGGGGGGGATGGGACACCTGTAATACTTTCAACAATAAAGATAAATTTTTTAAAAAATCACTCAACTCTACTGTTGGAATATGAAAGCAGCCATAGACAGTGTGCAAATAAAAGAGCATGGCTGTGTTCCAAAAAAACTTTATTTACCAAAAAAAAGAAAGAAAGAAAACTATGCATTGTCTAGAACACACCCTTCCAGGTTACACAAATCTAGCCTTTCAGTATCTTTGAGCTATTTTTACAACTCTGTACATTATAGGGACTGATGAGAACTAAGAGCTGATGATAATGCCAAATAATCTAGTCTACAGACAATAAATTCCCTCTCTCCATGTAAATAAATAGAGACATGTAGATGATTCTTCTGACTATGGAAGAAGCCAGTTTTGCCTCCATCTGCACATTCATTTCAATATTCCTGATCTATAGTCTTCTAGAATCTTCTTTGGTTTCTCTCACAAACTGGTTATAAGATCTTACTTGTTCCTTGATTCATGAGTTGAGTTAAAGTTGTCACATATGTTCATTATATTTCTGTATGAAATCATGAGTTTTATTTCCTTTGTTTTTGTCTAAGGCTCTGCTTTGCAGATTGCCCTGGTCATTGGTCCTATCATCTTTAGGTTCCAGTCAGCAATTTAAAAAATTACATCAGCTATACCAATCTCTACTGCATGTAATAAAAGTGAGTATTATCATAGAAAACTTTTATTTGGTACACATATGTATATTTAAATTTTTTACTTTGGATGATCATTGTTTTGAGGTAAACACTTGGGGCCTAGTGTGTTTATTTTGTAACATTAAATTTGTACTCAATAAAGATTTCTTGGGTGTCTCGAATGTTTTTAAGTCAGGCAGATGTAAATGGAAAGTTCAAGAACTTCACAGTTTATGGTTGGCCACTGTCTTATCCTCTCTCCCTTTCCCCCAAAACTGAGGTACAGAGCAATTTGAGGGCAGTAGTCAGGTTGCCTGCTCTGATAATGCTGTCCTGCTGGTGGTTACAAAGGACTCAGTGTAAACCCAACACCCAGGAGACACCCCTAATCCAAGCCCTAATCAGTAAGATCTTGAATGGCAGAGCCTGGCTCAGCAGCTGATGGTGGATTAGGAGAATTACCTTCATACAAGAGAGCGACAAACCACCATCCTCAAGTGCCAACACCCAGGTCCTTAGCGCTGGCTTGCTGGGTGGGAGACCTGGGGCAAATCCCATCAATTCTCTGAGCTGGTTTCACCTGGAAACAGGAAAAGTGGCAGATGAGATATTGTATGGGAAATTCTTCTATAAACTGGAACTCACCACACAACAATGAGGAATTCTTTGTCCAGGCCCCAACAGGGGTCCTGAAGAATAGACGGGGGAGGTCATGATGTTTGAAAAAGCTCGTGGATGAGCCCTGGCCAGGTAGCTCAGTGGGTTAGAGCATCATCCCAATAGGCCGAGGTTGCAGGTTTAATCCCAGGTAAGGGCATATACAAGAATCAACCAATGAATGTATATATAAGTGAAACAACAAGTCAATGTTTCTCTCTCTCCTTTCCTCTCTCTCAAGTCAATTTTTTAAAAAAGCTCCTGGATGATTCCAATTGCTGCCCCCCCCCCCACTGATGAGCTATGTGGGTTACAGGTGCACAGTGACTGGCCCAAGAACCCGTCTATGATTATATACACCACTCTCTGAGGGTGTACACAGGCATTATTCTCGGGAGAGCTTGACGGTGGCAGAGATAAAGATTAAGAACCGCTATTCTAAGGCAGGGCTTCTCAAACTCAGCCCCACTGGCATTTTGCACCAGATAACCCTCTGTTGTGGGGGCTGTCCTGTGCAATGAATGAAAGATGTTTAGCAGCATCCACGGCCTCTGCCCGCTAGATGCCAGGAGCACTCCCCAAGTCCTGACAACCAGTACTGTGAATGTCCCCCAAGAACCACTGCTCTAAAACTTAACAGATGCACTATAGAGAGAGTACAACCAATGGTACCCAGACCCCCAATCTCCCATCCGAATCTTAGCTACTTTTACTCTTCCCTTACCAGGCCTAATGTGTCCTCAAGTCTCCTCTCTACACCTGATCCCACCATCTCCATGCCTCTCATTGCACCTCAGGACTTCAATCCCCACCACCTCCCGGATGGTCTTCCCCTCTAGCTCCTGGTCCTTCCAGTTCTCCCCATGCAGCGCAGCGCAGTGCTGACGGGTTAATCGTCCTAAAGTTCAACTCTAATCATTTCTCTCTCCAATAAAAATCGTCTCCGTCTCTGTTACAAAAGCTCCACAATCTAGCCCTAACCTCACACACTATCTCTTCCCCCAGTCTCACTAGGGGCCTTTGGAAGAGGGACGCGAGAAACCTGATTGAATCAAACCAGAAAATGCAAATCAAGCCCTGGAAATGGTTTTGGCCCCCAAACAAAGAAATGCCAAAATAACAAAAATATACCCCTTTGGAAGGTTACACGCGATTCTCTGATTATTGGAGTTCCGAACCCTCCAAGGGCAAAGAGTAAAGAAAGTGAAAGGCTGATGGTAAAGGCAAGCATTTCGAACTGTGGTCACACTGACTGGGTCCCGAAATCAGTTTCAGGGGTTAGCAATAGCTTTTTGGAATGGAAAGAAAAGACTAGGACAGGACAGAAGGGCAGGGAACCGAATGTGAAGTTAGGGTAGCATCTCCCTTTGCAGTTATCTTTCATTAATCTACTTCTACAGGCACAGGGTTTGCATGTAAAATATATTTCTCAGTGTTAAGTTGAAACAAAAGTTTGAAAGCCACAGCGGACAACCTCCGCCGTCAGAAGTGGAAGGAGGGATGCACCAGCAGCAAAAGTGCAAGGTCACTCCTGGTACCTCCAGAGGCGCAAAGAT